CGCGGGCGGAGATAATGAAATTGTGTACAGGAGCGCAACGAGCCGCGAGCTTGTCTCGGGCAAAAATCCACTTAACAAATTGCTGCTGATTCGAAGGGTTCTGGATTGTTGGACGCTTTTACCGCTCCGTACTACTAACGCACTGTGTGAGAGCGTTACAGTACCTGGTTTTACATACAAATTTGGCATGTTAACACTGCAACAATATGAAAAATTAACAAGCAAAACTACCCAGACTGTATCTTTATTGTTCTTTATCGTTTCTACTATCATTAAGGATTACCTTCTTATATATATTCTCAACTGAAATAAAATAAGGTCAATAATCTAGATAACTCTAAATATTTATTCAAAATTTATATCGGGGGACAAAAACATTACGAAATCTCTCCGTAAATTTTTCGTCAAAAGTCTCCAATAATAGGTTTTCTTTTGAACACCGATTTTTCCAAATGAAATCATCCTGCCAAGGTTATAGAAAATTGACAAATCTGAATCTAAATTTCAATACAGCAGATGTTTCGGTGGTACTATCAGCATGTCTGAGCATTTGAGTATCAAATAATAAATAGAATTAAATCAGAACTTTCTGCGTAGATTACATACATAATCTTAAAAAAATTATTAACATTGATATCTAACGCTTAAAAAGTGACCGCATTAGCTCGGGTTCATTTAACATGTTGATATCTAACGCTTAAGTCAAGCGTTAAGTCCGTCGACAAAAAAACTTATTCACGTTTGTAACTAACAATAGAAAAAAGGTATTTAATACATTGAAAGTTTTATTATAACGGATTATCTAGTTAAAGTTTATTTAAATATCCCAAAATAAATATCGTGAATACAGTTGTCACTTCTCACGCAAACATACTTAGATGTCTAGCTAACTTCAGGGTGTCGGTTTTTCGTGACGGTGTGGGCGCGCATCGTAAAAATTTACTCTCATATTTTTCCGTAACGCACCAAAAGAAGTATAACTTCAATAAAATAAATAAGCCTAACAAACACAGGCTGGCACATAAGCATGATAATTGCTTATGTTACTAAGACTTGCTTCAAATTACACGCTTTTGAGTGGCCAGGGCGAACAGCCGTCCATTTGCCAAATAAACCATTAAGGCGATCGCGTATTATAATTAAAACGTCAAAGGGAAACGCTATCGCTCCTCGGGCGGGCGACAAAAATGTATACGCAGAGGCAAATTGTAAAACGCCCGAGTAATGAATTCGGCGCGAGCGTTTCGCACGCAATTGCACAATTTCAATTATCGCATTACGAGTGGCGCGTGCGAGTGATACTGGGCGAGGCCCGGCGCCCGACGCTTTTTAGCCGCCCAACCTATATGAGGCGTATTCAAAAATCGGTTTACGATATAAAAAGTGGAAACTTATATTTTTGTAGTTCTAATATCTGCACTTAATTTGAAACATTAAAATGTGTAGAAACAGTAAGAAAAGTTTATCGTCGCTGTGGGAATCGGATCCACGTCTTCGGGATTCGCGCCCAGACTCTTTAACCACTGAGCTAAACGGCTGATTGCCAAACCGATGAAAATCTCAACATGTTTTATTTAAATTATTATTTCGCATATTTTTTACATTTATTAAAGTAGAGAAAACTTCATAAGAATTTCTTTTCGCAAATACTTATATGAATGCATTGAAGGAGCTATTCTATCGATTTAAATAAAATGTTTTTTTTGTTTTGCTATTAAATGTTTTGCTATTCTATCGATTTAAATAAAATGTTTTTATATGTTTTTTTTTTAATATTTTTGAGGATATCCTATTTGTTACCACACATGACATATACGAATGTATGCAATACTTATATGAATGCATTGAAGAAGCTTGTCTATCAATTTTTAAATTAGGTAATATGTATGTCTCATTTATGATTATCAACATGCAAACATGCAAAAAAAAGAGCAACTGTTGAGTTTCTTGCCGGTTTCTACTCAACAGAAACTGATTTCTGAACCGGTGATAACTTACAAACGTATAAATTTTTATGTAAAATTTTTAACGTTTCATAAGAACGTGCAAGCGTCTATGTGAATAAATATATTTTGATTTTATTTGATTTGAACAAGCACGCCAAAAAGCAATGTAGGTAAGCCTGATAAGACAAAAATGTTGATGAACAAATGTTGGTAGAATTTCACATCCATCAGATCGCATTATATAATAATAATAAAATCGTTTTCTTGCACCACACCATCCGAATAAAAGACGTCAATGAATTAAGTGACGCTAATAAAATATCAACATAAAACCATAACTTTATAAAAGACTTCTATTCGTTTTATTGCGAAGAGTTCTTCATCCTGTACAATCGATTCGATTATGAATATTCAGCAGCAATCTCTTTTTCATCTGCATCGGCTACTAATGGCGGGACCCATCACATCACACGTTTGAGCAGAGCTTAATTTAGATACATCAAACGCCGGTGATACGCGAGTTTGTTCCCCGTTACAAAATTTTCCAGGATCAACTTTGCGTTCCGTCGAAAAGCAAAGGAAAGTTCGGACACAAAGGCCGGCATTTAATTTTTTTTTCAGTCCAGAAAAATTTGGATCGAACGAATTACAAAACCAACGTAGAAAAAGGTAGGGCTGTCAAAGGTTTTAAAATAAAATCAGTCACCGACGAACATAAGCTGCCAATTAAAGTTTCATGCACTTGATTGACTTCGTTTCACCATCGATCCCTGACTTGTAAGAGACCACTACTAGTTTCTTTACTAGTACTAGTTTCGTTTTCATCACCGCTTATGCGTCACTTAAAGTCTTAAGCGGTACCTAAAAAATAAGGGCTCAATGTTCGGTCTAACACTTAAAGTTTTTAGCTGGTCCCTTAAAGTTAGGGATATAATGGTGAAAACAGACACTGTTAAATGTAGACAGTTCAATGAGACAAGGCGTGAAAATCTAGCTAGTATTATTAATAAAAACGGGCTGCGAGGCCATCCAATATAATAAAAACCTCAATACTTTTCCGATTCGAACTTTTTGCGTCGGAATAATAAAAAAAAAAACACAACCCGAAACCGTCTCCAGCCCTAAATTCGAAATATCGAACGACGCCCGGAACGAGAGACGCCTATCTCAATTGAATTGCCGAAAAAGGACGCAAAATGAAAGCAACGCGACGCACCCGCGCCCCCCGCCTGTGCCCGATAGTGCTCGCATCGGCTCCTATTGAAATCTCGATATTTGTCAGCTTGATTAGCCGGCGCACCGCCCGCGCCTTTGTACGCGAGCGGGCTGAATGGCGCAGCGTGAGACGCCGAGGGCAATTTTAACGAGGCGCGATCTTGCGCAATCAATTCCCGCGTAATCGAGACGCCGAGGTGCCCGTTTGATTAACCACAACACAATCGGCCCCATTGTCGAAAACGCGAGAGGTTAGGAATCAAAAATATTGACGTTTCAAATGTATTGCTTTACGACCGGTTTCGATATTCTATCTACGGCTAGATTTGGTTACTGCAGGTAGAATTTTCACGCAAGTATAATGGAGCTTATGTCAAATACCTATCGCTAGTAACCAAATTGATCTGTAGATAGAATATTGAAACCGGCCGTAAAAAACTATATATAGCAAGTGTAGAAGAAATTGTTACTTTTTTATTCAATATCAAATTTAAAAGCTTAATCCTTATCATCACATTATCCTTTGTTGTGTAGAAACAAACATTAACTTCTCAAAAAGTCGTCCCGTGTGGGAATCGAACGCACGGACCCGGAACCGAAACCTATATAGCGGCAACCACGGGATCATCATACTATTGTGTTAGGTAATTATTGCTGCCGCCTCGAAGACATCATATACATCGTAATTTTTTGATCATTATAAATTTATTTTTTATAAATATATTTCACAAAATAAAATGGCTATCCTCGTTACCCCGAAAAGTAATTTTATTAAATAATTTCTTTCGGAGTAACAAGACTCAATTTTTCCTAAATCATTTTACTACCATAAAAATCTGTAAGATAAAGAGAGGCAGCGTGCAGATTTCGACTACGTGCAAAATGCATTCGGCGTCGCAAGTTACCAGATAGCCGACATGGCTGCATAACGGCTCCGTGCATATGAAAGCCAATGAACGTGAGAATAGATTTATATTTTGAACTGATTCGTAAAGTGATAAACCCAAATGTTTAAATGTACCTTAATTGAATATACACGAATATATTTGAGTAAATAACATCCCTGATAAATACAGATAAAATGCTACCAATATGTAAGTGACATTTGGAGAAGTATTCCTTCAATACTTCTCTATTATTTTCTTTTAGTCGTTATTGTAATCATTTTTCACAACCCAGTATTATACCGAATATTTCAACTATGTATTTATACATATAGTGATATTTATACTTCTATGTTTAGTAGATCTTAGATTAGTTATTGATTTGTTTTATTTAATCGGTTGCTAATAATATTCCATTGATAGACTTGAGATTGCCTTTGACAGATTGTGAGCCGTGATAGCTCAGGTCCGGGCGATCGCCTTTAATTCAATATACTCGAGCAACCTGAGTTCGATCCCCGGTGTCGGCACCAATGAAGTTTTTAACTTTAAGTGCTGACTTATCACGTGCTCCGCGGTGAAGAAAAACATCGTGAGGAAACCTGCATATTCTCGATATAATAACAAAAAAAATATATATTTCGAAATATATGTGAAGTCCGCCAACCCGCAGTAGGGCCGCGTGGTGGACTATGCCCTGATACCCTCAATATAGAGGAGGCCTTTGCCCAGCAGTGGGACATGTATAGGCTGTTATTTTACTTTTTTTACTTTTTGATAGACTTGTATGTTTAAAAAACCTCTTCTAAAAACGTCTTCTTTGCTACTATAGGTTAAGGTTATCTTGTATTGTATAGATGTTGTATACGTTTGTTGGATATCATCATATATACTCCTCATGATGCATTCTCCAAAACACATGTATTTTCCTTTGTATATTAAAACTATCACTTACCGATCAATGATGACAGGATCCGATGGGGTTTCATTTCTGTTTCCACAACTCTTCTTGTCGCAACATCGACTGAAACAATATTTCGTTTCAAACTACTGTTTTTAACCATTAATCTTCATGTAGATCATATTCTATCTATAAGTTTATATTTCGACTTATATTTATATAGAAAGGAGGTATTGGGGCACGAAATCAAACCTTATCCATATTAAGCGAAAGGCATCGTTGCACGCGCCCTACCGTGCCTCCTTGACGCAAAGGGCAAAGACATTGAAAGGACAGACTCCCCTGAGACTCCTCCCCTGAAGACGAACAACAAGGACGCACGTATCGCATACGACGAGACAGCAAAACTACGTCTAAGGTAGAATAAAATTTTAATTGCCAACACAGACGTAGAGCGTGTTGTTAAACACAAACACATTGATATGTCGGCGAGACGATGCGCTACCGTTACGACCGGAAAAATCACCCCAAACAAGTTCGCAATGTAACGAGGATATTCCGTATTATCTCTTTCATAACCTTTTTAGTTGAAGTTAATGTTACATTAGCTAAATGTTGCAATTTGAGATTTTCTATAAGAAAGGATCAATAGTTTTATTAAACATTCTTTAAACACGATCACGTTCATGATAAATGATCCTTTCTAACAGGCCACACGAGTCCCGATTATTGAATACTCTGGAATGATGACGGGCGTTTTTAAGTTTGTATTTTCAAAAGTTTGGAAGTTTAACTTTGGACAAACGATTGCTTTACTGGAATTTCTACGAAACGATTACACTTATTGTGAAGTAAATTTTTTTGTTATGTACCGGTGGCTATTGTTACGATATGACAACAATTATGACAATTATAGATATTTCAAAATCTAAAATTAATAAAAGTATATCTATTTTTACAAATCACAACTTATAATTGAGAAAATTATTTACCTGCACATCACTTCATGTGTCAGTAGCACCCTGCACATTTCTGGATTTTTATCTTGTCCCTCGTAGACAATCGGCTAGAACAAATATGATATTAAATTAAACTCACATACCTACTTTGCAAATTGTAATAACGAGATTCTCAAAAACTTAATTATTATTTTATAAATTAAATTAATTAAATAGATAAAAAATCAGCGTGTAGATAAGATATTTTTTGTCTTCATCAAGTTATTACTTTTTGCTAATTTATGCACCCCTTCTTGCATAATCAACCTTTGTTATCTTTAACAACATATATAATGACAAATATTTTACATAAACATAGTGGATTGCAAAAAGTTTTGAAGTTATTTTTACCAAACAATTAAATTGCTTATAATGATGATTTATAAAGCAAATATAAGTATGAATTAAATCGTCAATATTTTGTTATATTTGAAGAACGATCTTTGAGTATTAATGCAGCTAAGCTTAAAATGAATTCTGCAGGTTCTATGTATTTGTTTTTTATTAAATGATGTGTTAAATGTACTAATGATCAGGGAAATTCGCAACCTACAATGCATTAATGGTTCATCAATGTACTAAGTCAGCCGTTACTTTAAACACTGGCCTGGCCTGTGGTTTGATTAGATTCGTAACACAACAATTATTTTTCTGTTAAAATGAAATAAAATGTATCTTATTTTCTGCAATATAGATAACGATTATTATCTATCGACAAATAGAAAAATAACCAGATTGTTTTTGAATGCGTATAGTGAAAAATATTTATTGTTAAAATATGATTTCGTGGTCTGAACCGAGTCGAGAACCATTGTGAAGTCCACTCCAATGGCTCTATGGTGAAATTTTATTTTGGTAACTTCATAATATCAGTGAATATTTCGTAATCCACGATTTACCAATAATCTTCTGTATTTTTACGAAGTAACATCTTATAATGTAACGGCGTTGTTAATTTTTATGATTAGCTGATGGGTGTTTAAATTGCCAAAATTACTTAATCAGTCTTTTCTCGTTAATATGTCGCGTAATATTACGCCCATAATGTCTATCATGTGTATATATTTTGTACATTAAAACTGTTATTGGACAGATGGCGTATATGTGAATGTGTTTATGGGCTGAACCAAAGAACATATATTCGAAAACTTATTTTAGAATATATTTAGAATTTAATATTCACAATTTAAAGTAAGTAAAGTTAGAGTCTATATATGTCTCACTGCTGGGCAAAGGCCTCCTCTGTATAGAGGGTATCAGGGAATAGTTCACCACGCGGCCCCACTGCAGATTGGCGTACTTCACATATCTTCTAAATATTTTTTGTTATTATTTGGAAAATATGCAGGCGTCCTCACGGTGTTTTCTTCACCGTTGAGCACTTAAAATTAACAATTTCGTTGGTGTGGGCACCGATGATCGAATCAGGTTGCTCGAGTGTATTAAATTAAAAGCAAGCGCCCGAAAAATGAGCTATCACGGCTGTTACATGACAATTATGTGCCAAAAATAAATAAATATTTAATTACAGTGGCATAAAAATGTAACTTCCAGAAAGTTCTCACAGGATGCAGGTTACTAGATCTAAATTGTCGACAAAGTTTATTTCCCCTGTATTGGACCTCCCCTCGTACACGTGTCAGGTTCGTTTATCTATTAATATCTAATTACTGGTTGCCCTTAAGCTGCGGGGTGCGCTATAATCCCAGATGCGTTCGGTCCAATTTTTCCATCGAGGGTGCCGAGAGCCGTTTCAAGTGAAACTATTTGAATTTTTGATACATCGAAGACCAAGGAAACATTTCTAGTTTTTATTTTCACTGTAATCGTCTGTATTCAATATCTGTGTTCGTTCAATGGCCATAATGTTCGTGGTGACAATAGGGGTAATAATAGAAAAAATACATTTTCGACCAAATACCAGATTTCATTATAATATTTGCCAGTTTAACAACAAACGGAGTCCAATTTTATTTAAATAACACCACAACACAAAAAAGACTATTTCATTAATATTTTACATAAACTTCCATATTTTTCCACACAGATGCATCGAGTCTACAAATAACCCACGAAAATGCATATTAGTAAGTGTAAGCCCCCAAAGTCCTAAAGATAGATTTTTGCCCCTAACAAAACGTTTAATTGAATATGAAATAGGTGGGTATTACAATCTTTTGTGTGAGGGATTTGGAAGGATTTTAGGTTCGTAGGGTGTTTCTGCAAGAGGTATTCAAGGGTCATATGAAAGTATTTAAATATGACAAAATAGCTAAATAACAGGGGTCGAACAGTATTGCTAACGTTATTACAGTGGCCTTAGGGTGAAAGCATCAGGTGTTTAAAAATAGATATTTCATTCTTCATTTTTTGCTTCATAATGCTTGTGAATATACATATAAATATTTTTGTTCAATAAAACTAATTTATGAAGTTTGTTTGTCTTACTTTATTCATACCTGTTGTTTTACTGAGTCCATGGTCACGGGATAGAAAGATGTTTTACGTCTTTTACATAAGGTCATAGTTAATCCGGGCTGCCGTCAAATTCTTCATAATATATTTTATCTAAATCTTTAATAATATATGTTTAACTAAATCTAATTTCATCTTAATTTTCTTTGAATAATGTACCTACAAAACTAAGTTTATAGAACAATCTAAATTTAGAAAAACTAATAAAGTAGTAGTAGTATACTACGAGTACTAATATAAGAATACTGCCTTACATAGAAATACTGTCCTTGTTTTCATTGTTTAACTTTTTATAATTAATCTCTTAGTAATACAAAACGGACTAAACTTACAAAAAAGTAAAATATTACACAGTCCACTACGTGACCGCAAAATAGATCGAAACTGACAGACTTTTATTTATTATTTTACTTTTATTTATTTATATTTTACTTTTATTTACTTATTATTTCGAAAATATGCATGTTTCCTCGCGATGTTTTCCCTCACCACTGAGCGCGTTATAAGTCAGCACTTAAAATTATTACTATTAACATTTTCATTGGTGCCACATTAAAAGCGACCGCTGGAACACTAATCACTAAGGCTCAAATCTGAATGCCCTCAACTTACAAAAATTTTACGTACCCAATCTGATATATTCTAATATTATAGGTGTGTGTAGTAAAAAGCTAAAAACAATTCCAATAAGGAAAGACATTAACAATCTTTAACATATACCATCACAACTATATTCCATTTTTGACGTGTCGAAAATAAAGCGAGGAATCGAAGAAAGTCACCTTAGAATAGTTAAGTCCAGAAGGCGTAGATAAAACGCGTAATTTGGTAAGCAAACATGTTTCAAGTTGACTCACATACGTCCCTCAGGATGGCTCGGGGCGGGTCGGCTAACCGCGGTGGGCACAACACATCACATGGGATTCAATCTCATGGGAATTAGTGGGGACTCAAAAAAATAGCCACCGTTGTCTACTCGCCCTACCTGTGATTATATCGATTTAACCAATATCAAAGCTAATATATCAGTTCTTAAAAATTATCTACATGAGATTTCGTGATAAATAATGTGATTTCATAAAGTGCAATGTAGAAACATTCCGACACAGGTAATAACAATTTGTTTCAATATTAAACGCCTTATACATTAATGGTAACTGTAAAATGAGGGAATAAATTTCAAACGTCAAGACTTTACTACCATTGTCCTAGATTTATAGACGAACAAGAAATAAAAAATTTCTTTACGGAAGCCGGGAGGCAAGATGCAGAGCGCTACAAACAACGTTGCATCGTGATTTACATGAGCGACAACGCGACTGTACTTTTGAATTTGAAGACACCGGGTGCACTTTTCGAGATTTCCATTTGCTACACACATTTTCCAGGAAATATGCTAACGCGGAAAAGTGTATCGATTCGTCTAATATTCTAAATATTTTATATTTACTATAAAACAGTTAAAATAAGCCTGTAGATTTCGAGCAAATGTTTATACGTAAAAGCATAAATCTGCTGATATAATAAAATAATATACGAAAATATTCAAGTACGTAAATCGGTTTCATAACTGTTCTGTATATATATACGTATGCTCACACATTTTAACGAGTTTCGTAAGGATATTATAGGTATGAATTTAAAAATATAACGCTCATAACATCCTGTATATGCTATAAGTGGAGGCTACAAGTGCCGATTTCGCTTAAACAAACGCGCAGTTTCTAGTATTGCACCGAAGAACTTTATTTAAGTTATGTTTACACTGATAAGTTGCGCTGGCAATGCAATAGAGACGCCAAGAAATAAGAACGGGGACATTAAAAAGGCAAGAAGCACGGTGATTTACGTTGGGTCGCTATACCGGCCACAAAGGCGCGTCTTGTACAGTTGCCAGGAGCGAAGTTGCGTAGATATTTTCGCCATTATTACCTTTTCGCTTCTCGTTCTTAAGGCGCAAAGAAATGCATCGATATAAAAATTTAAAAAAAACGGTCAAGTGCGAGTCGGACTCGCGCACGCAGGGTTCCGTACCATCTATAAAAACGGCAAAAAAAATGTGTATGTTGTGTGGAAGCCCCACTTAAATGTTTTTTTACTCCGTTTTTATTATATATATATATATATACTAGACACTATAAACATTTTATTGCATGAAGTCATTATTAATCAATCGTGGTCCTTCTTTAAATTAATGACTACGAATACCAAATAAGCTTACGAATATCAAGTAAGCAATAATTCATAACAACATTTATTAGAGATACGATCTTTTCTGATTCATGCAATTTATACGTAATAGTTTCTTTAGCGGATGTTAAACATACAATGGCTTCCGTAGCTCATTTTCCCAACAAAAAGTCCTAAATTAATATGTTGTTTGAACATTGTTAAGTAAACACAATCACACAGTCACGTGCGTTGCACACGCCTCACTTTTCAAACACGAAACGCTTCTATGGGATTTGTGCGAATCTCATTTCGGGCACAACGAGTCAGTATCTTAAGACTATATTCAAACAGAGGGTGGGCAGATTGATGATTTAGATATTGATATGATGGTGATTTAGTGTGCGAACGTTGATAATGTCCTCGTTTAATGTTACTTCTTCAAACAAAACTTTATTTAAGTACTAGTAATAATTAACGAATGCGATGGGAAGTTTTAGAGGATGGCTTTAGGGCGTAAATTCAGTTGCCAACCCCATGCCCATGCGTCACGGGTTCTATTTCCACACAGGACCAGTTTTGGTGTAACCCCCATAATCATCCCGAATCTAGGTGTTTGTTCCCTAGGAGAGCTGGCGTGAGGCAGGTGGACGGTCATAAGAAACTTGGCCAAACCCATCAACCACATGATTCACATACTGTGTCGACTCTACCAAGGTAAAATTGGAGCTTAAGAAAGAAGATAAAGCTTTAGGACGTAAATTAAAAAAGTACAGAGATTTTGTGAAGATTATTGCATGCGTGTTACCATTATAGAGCCTTACATCTCTTAATTATTTTTGTAAGCATTCGAGAATCACGAAAGAAGTTAAAATCAATTCACCCATTTTAGGTAGGTACTTGTAAGCAATGTAAAAATGTTATTAGGTTATTAAATCAGCTCATTCAGTTATCGACCCGTTCGTTTACACAGAATGAAATCGCAAACACCCTACTGTATCGGAACTTAAATACTGGGAAAACTCAAAAGGCTCTCTCATTGCGTTGCGTGTCCAGCTCGCATGCACCACGCGGCATTAGCTGATTAGCCCGGTGTTCCCTAACCTAACGTTTTAATACAATTAAACCGACCGCAACTGACTACTATCCGGACGCGATCTTCCCGCAATTTTTAGTGAACGACTGTTTCGCGTGTCAATCTCCTCTCGACGTGTGCTCGAAATGATTGATTACATTTGCCTAACAGAAATTCACCAATTAGATGTGTTTATATTATTCATTAAGCAAACTAAATCGTCAACGTGTAAGCACTCTTGAATATTCGCAAGAAATATTAGAGTTTAAAATTCTAAGGTCATCGAATAAATTTTGGTAGCTCCAATTAACCCTAAATATTGTATCTACAAAATAGTCAAAATTGCTCAATAAATTTTGATAATTGGTCAGTGTTATTTTATATTTTTCTAATAACGTATGTTAATACGTTATTAGAAAATAAAAAATAAAAAAATTGTTGTTAGCAATTGGCAGCTAATAGTCAGTCGTCGACTAACATATTTTGTTATATAAAAAAGTCGCTAGAATTAATTTGAGCCGCTGAATTTTTTCCGATGGCCTCAGAATTTTAAACTCTCTTAGTTAATGTCAAAGTATTTACAAGTTGCTGAAAATCACCGCGTGTGACCATTTCGTGACCAATTTGTACTTTCTTAGGGTTCAGACTTTCATAATCAATGTCATTTACACCTTTTAACTTTGTAGTAATGCTTTTGAAAATTTACGAGTTTATTTTAAATTGGTTGCGCGCTATCAAGCGCTAGCTAGCTCTCAAGAAATAGGATGTTCACAATGTTGGCATTCGGAGAAATAAAAGCTTTCGTTTGTTAAATGAGGACCTCTCGTTGCTATTTCTTATCTCGTATAAGAAAGACGGTCCAATTATTAGGGTTTCATTTATGAACACAACTTCACTAACAATTTGATAAAATACAGTATAATAAACAAACTGAAACGTAAGAGAGCGTCTTCAAGAATGTTCCGATTTTACTTTTCTCTAACTGCAGGATAACGTGGGAGAACGTGGCAAGCGAGCCAGCGGATTCACCTGATGTCAAGTGAACTGAAGTTTATAGTGACTACTGTCAATTGATGGGCATGAAATAGTAGTATCAAGAAATTTTATGGTATTCAACCCGCGAAACACGTACGCCGCATACCCATCCCCACTGCACCTATCCCGTACAAACGTACGCAATTCCGTTATTCTTAGTTAACAACGTTTGGCCCGAGTTAATTATGTTCACGGCATAAATCTTTCGTAATTGGCCTCTTGTTACACAACACTAAGAGCTCGGGACGTGTTGAAATTATATATGTGAGGCGCACGGTGAAGTTTCATGATGGCTTCGTGTGCTAAAATTGTTATTTATGTAATAAAGGCGGGCATGATAATTGCGAGATGCCGCGCTCGACCGGCCCTACGTACCCTTCTTATAGGGAGACCGCATTGTTGGGAGCTACAATTTAACCGCTATCGGGAAACTCTTATCATTTGCCTATAGGCTTCTGAGCTGACCCCTATAATCAATACTAAACATTTAAACGAAAACCCGAAAATATGAATGAAAAATAGAATGAAAATCTGTTGCCCAAATTATGAGTATATATTGTCACAGATAATATTCATCAGATGTAATATTTAAATTAATTTTAATTTTACTACATTTGTATGTTTGTCCAATAAAACTGTTTACGCTACTAATAAAACAGTGGCCTCAAACTTGACTGATTGACTGATTATTGAACTATCACTACATAATATTATAAACAAAGTCGTCCTGCTGTCTGTCTGTCCATATGTATGCTTAGATATTTAAAACTACGTAACAGATCTTGATGCAGTTTTTTAACTAGATAGAGTGATTCAAGAGGAAGGTTTATTTATGTAAAATACATTGCACCCGTGAAGATCCATTGAAGCCGGGGCGGGTCGCTAATATATAATAATAAATGCTATGTTAAACTTTTAAGTAAATTTTATTCGTTGATATTTAGAAAAACTTCCAAGAACTCTGTCACGTTCCAAAAACTATATTTATATTCTCTACAGTCATATAGAAGCGCAAATCATCGCGCACAGACTGACGGCCCCTTCGCTGCCAATCAATCGTAAGCGTTTGGGACGCGTCCGATTCCGTCACAAAAGGTGAACACGACACCCGTTCGCACCCGTTCTCGCGCCGACGACGCAACGATGTTCAACAAAACGAAACAGTAACACGAGATAATGTTAATGATTGCCCCCAAACGACGGGCAATTCCGTTAGGGGCGTGCGGATTAGGGTCTATCGGACGTCGGCGATGAAGATTTGCCCGCGCCGCGTGGCGGACGCGTGCGCGCCGCGTGCCTGCCCACCGACTGCAGGACGTAGCAAACTACTCACTTAGCTCTACGCAACGTGGTAGAGTCGTAGGCGGGCGGATTAAAGTATTGGACAGTGATGGGAATGAATAAAAAGATACATATAAATGTTTAGTACTGAAATAATTGTTCGTTGTTTTTTCTGTTAATTATAATGTAATTGTTAAATAAAGTGCCGAGTGGTATTAAGGGTTGGGTATCTGTTAACGTCATTTCAATTCGGTACAGTTTTCCAAACTCTTAATAGATAATATGATAAGTAGATACAGTTAATAAATTGATTTCAATTGACTTGTTTCGAAGTAGCATTAGGTAAAGTATATTGCTTTCAACATAACATTTTTAAAATTGCTGTAATGGCTTAATAATTTTGGGCAAGACTACACGACTTGTAACTTTTTATACGGGTTTCGTAATATATTTTCATACACGCATTTCTATTGGTGACCTACCCCTACAACTGCTTTGATTTATGTAGGAATATACACTTTAAAAATTTTAAAACACCCCGTGATTAGCAGTAAGGATAAAAAAAAATTTTGAAAAAACCATGAACCAACTTCTGTTAGTTACTTTTCTATTTACATTAATAGCAAGAATTTATGTAAACTATGAAAAATGTTATGTTTAGGTTATGTATCAATTATTTATGTTAAATTCGACGTTTCATGAGAACGCGCAAGCGTGTATTTGAATAAATATATTTTGAATTTTTTGTTATCAGTTTGCATAGAACTATAAAATTCTTACCTGTTTCGTAACGGAGTCTATAAGTCGGACGAATATGTCTTGCTCTTGTCGTATACCTGCAAAGATATAACTTAGTTCATCAAAAATGATAGTGTCAGCGGAGTTTCAATAATAATATAATTTATAGAACGATCAACATTTATCCTATATTATCTAATAGCCAACTGCTTGATCCCTAGTTTGATCTTACTGTTACTTTCAGCACTTGACTTTATTTATACCTTAACTATTCAATTCATCTTCCTGCCCATATCCCACCTAGAAGGGGTCTGCAAAACATGTGAATCTACACGAGTTTTGGCTATGTTTTTAACAACCGCTCGTCTGCTTGACGTCAAACCTCTTTGGGAACAAACACCCAGATCCGTAAAAAGTATCTGTGGGTCACCATATACTTGTTCTGTATTGGAATCAAACCCACGACCCCCGATGTTGAAGTCAATAGCTTAGTAACTGCAACACCGGGCCATTTAGAGTGTTCAATTATTTTCTTAATATACGTTACGTATTTCATTAAATAGAACAATAAAACTTTAAAACGGTTGTTACTGAAAGTTGGTGAGAAAAAATTACGTTACAAACACATTTGGGTCGAGACTGCAGCTTATATTTTACAGCGCAAATATGCTACGTCTGTAACGGCTTTAAGCAGTAACGTTTACACATAGTAGCAATAAAGATCGTAGCGCTTTCTCTACGAGCGTAGCCCCGCTGTAGCTGTGTAGAGGCGAGCTGCACAATTTGTTAACCTCCTGAAATTGCCTCCACACTCGCTCGCGTCTTTTTTCCCTTTCGTGCGACAAGAATTAAAATAATAGGCATGGTGCGGCGGGGAAATTAAAAACCGTCTCGCTAACGGGACTAATTTCGCACGCAATTGAATGAAATTGTCAAATTAGTGTACGTTGAATATGAACATTTCGGATATTGTCTAACCACAGAAATGTGAATCTTTTGTGAGTTTAATTTTCTTGTTTTTTCGCAGATTACGCAATTTTTTTAATTTATTAAAGAGATTAATAATTCTCAATGTTAATTCAATGCTATAATTTTTATGTATGTTTTATAAATAGTTGTATTTTAAACGCAAATGCATTAAATAGGTTAGAGATCAGAAAAAAGGTAGCGTTCTGTCAGGGGCAACTAAATATTGCTAGGTATAATTCTTAACCTATAATATTTAACAAATTTCAAAGAACAAAGAAAAGAGAAGTAAAGGAATCAAAGCTATTACAAATAATTAAAGCACGATGTCTACGTAATGCTATGTTTGACGTATGGACTAGACAATAGCTGCTGTTCTGTAGTCAGTGACAATGGAGGCAGAAGAGGCAATATTTGTCCAATACCCGAGTCAATCGACCTGACTGTGCATCTAAAGTACTTAGTACTACGACGTAGTATAATAAGTATAATAAAGTATAATTCTGGCACCGATTGCGTACCAGATATAGTTTTGGTGTTTTTAGTATTAATTTAAAACATAAATGTTTAAATTATTAAAAACATAAATATTTAAGTTCGAATTCATACCATAAAATTGCAGGTATATAAATTGAACTTTAATAATAATTATACACCAAAGTGCTCTCACTTTTAGTGAAAGATTATCTACAGAATTTTAAAAGTGGTAAAGAATGCATTGAGCAGTTATGGTTACGGGACATTTAACAAAGATGTAAAACGCCACAAGAAGTGATGACTGCAAAGCAATTCAAACAAATATGCATATATCTCATAAAAAACATATATTAAATTGAACTCACCATTCGCGTATAAAAGTTGAAGTCTGTACTGAATTCCATTATTTGTCTTCTGTCCCTCGGCTTCCTAGGAACGAAAAAAATCAAAGTAAGTCATCAAAAGTTAAAACTGTTACTAAATTTAATAAAAACAAGTTATCCCGAATGCATTTTAATATTACTTTCATTTGCAACAATATAATTATATGATATGTAACTGTACATAGGTAAAAGTTACAAATTGATTAATAAGCTGCGTAAATGTGGATTGTTGAAGAATAACATTTTTTCTAAAGTACACACTGGAATTTTTAGGCCGTATTTACACGTTGAATAATTAACTCGATGTGAATAAACAAGACGTGCTAACACCGCCTAATGGCGTCAGTATGTCGAAACATAGTTTACACACACACTCACTTTTTAGAATTGTCTATAAATAATATTTCCTACTTTTAAAATGTAGATACCATTTTTATGACAAACTAAAGAGACAGCGCAAGAATTAAATAGCATACCGAAATATAGCCGAAAAAATATCGCATTGTCAATATTATATACATATGAACTGACGACGGGACGTATTAAAGTACCCTTCTTTACAAGATGTGAATAATATTTGACGAAAGAAATCCAAAATATCAGATTGTATGATAATAACTGAACACTTAGGCAACACTCAAATATCATTTACTCTTCCACTTTTCAATTAAAAGGTTTTTCTTATTCTAATTTAAAGATACATTAGTATTTTCATGTTCGCTTTCACCGCTCAACACGTGGTGAATCGCCCATAAAATTACACTTTAATTCACAATTAACTATTTTAGCTTAGTTAGGGTTGCCAGCTACGATAAAATTTTAAAGCAACCCTCCCGTCACTTTCCTTACATAAAAAGCAGTTAGCAAAAACCAGCCAAATACGAGTCGAACTCGCGCACGAAGTATTCCGTACTATTATCTATAATAAAACCGGCCAAATGCGAGTCGGACTCGCGCACGAAGGGTTCCGTGCCATGATGTATAAAAACGGCATAAAAAATCACATCTATTGTATCTATATCTATCACACTTAAATATTTTTTTTTTTTAGTATTTGTTACATCATCTGTGAAAATTTCAATTGTCTAACTATTACAGTTCATGGGATACAGCTTGGTTACAGACGGACAGCGGAGTCTTAGTAATAGAATCCCGTTTTACCCTTTGGGTACGGAACCCCAAAAAATCTTGGATCAAAAAATCCTTAACACTGCGACCTCCGTAAATGATGCACTGCATTCATCGCATCAAGTCATTGAGTTACGAAGAATAATATTGGAAACAATGTGAATTGATAGTTTTAAAATTTCAACTTATCGCTTACCACCGGCACTGTGACACTTCATTATGTAAATCTTCATTGAGAGCACAATAGGCAGCCAGCATGCGTGATCCTGATTGATGGAGCGTTCTACACGCGATAGCATCGGCATTTGAGGATTTCTTGATGAGCGAATCGTTATTACGTCACACACAAAAGCAACCAAATCGGAACTCATGCCGCCTTCAATGGCAAAATCGCCATTAAATCATTCAATAAATTATATTACATTAGATATTCTGAGCCTTTATTACCATGTTAATTAATTCACGGTTTCTTTTTCACCGTTTAGGTTTCACCATGTCCAGTTTGCAGGTGTAAAAAGCAATTTTCATAACTAAGCTTCCACTGACTAATGATATCCATCACATTATCATCAATTTCATCAATAACAAACCTAATGTCCTTCAGAATAGTGCTCTTATTTAAGTCCTAATGAATTTACTCTATACTTAATCTAAAGTAGGCCCGATGACTGCTAGTTTCGATGGACTACAACTTGGAATTTATTACTGTAATTTACTTGGAATTTAAAATAAAAAAAATCTAAAATGAAAGTAACCTAAGTTACTCCTTATTTCATCAGCTCCTTATTGCGTCAGCCAGTAAAAGTCCCATTCAAATCGTTTTAGAGATTAGCCGGAACAAACAGACAGACAGACAAAAATTGTAAAACAGAAAAAAAAATATTTTTATACATTATTTTTATTTTATACATATGCATTTGGTAAAAAGCGGTTATTTTAATATTACAAACAGACACTCCAAATTTTTTTATCTGTATAGACATTAGTTCCTGGTTAAACTTCTCCTTGAGAAAGTCTCACCTGATCTTTCTCGATGAAACCTATGAAGGCGGTGCGCTCGATCTCGACGGGCTGGCCAGCGCGGTCATAGAGCGCCACCACGAAGTGGAAGAAGTTGCTCTTGCGCAGGTTGCTGGGCGGTTGCTTCTCGAAGTGAGCCCGCCCAACGCCCACGCTGCTGTTAGTTGGAGAAGGAAAGAATACTCATCAGGCCTGTGAGTCAGCGCAAAGTTATCGATGGTAGGGCCACGCAGCAGCCTCGTCTGTTGCACGAATGGGCAGGCTCGTCCGAGTAAGTACCACGACCTTGCAGAAGACCGGCGTGCAGTGGAAGTACAATACTTTCGCGTTTCATCTGGTGAGTGATGTGGCCGGAGCCTAATTTTCAAAGGGTTGTCAACGCATCTGGAGCAGATGTCCATTCAGCAGATTTTCACAAAAAAAATAACCTTTAATGCACCCGGTGCGAGTTTCTATAACTGCATCATTGAATGTTCTAATACCCGAATAAATAATTTTTATTTTGAACAAATGTACTAATAATATTTTTAGAGCAAAAACAACTATGGAGTGTCTCCATAAATCTAATCTTGGTTACTTAGACTAACACGGCAAAATAAGATAAATATGATTGTTGATGACATCATATTGCTATAAAATTGGAACGCAATAAAAAGTGTCATAAAATTTATAATTACATAATAAATTACAATTAATATCTCAATACTGATGCACAGACACCCGCAGAAATAATCCCTCATTGAGTCGACAGCCGAAAAAAATCCCTTTTGCGGAAACCACACAGCATGGCCATAAATTTTAAATTCCTTTCACGGCTCTTTTATATTTATCCCGCTATTTGTCAATAGACAGAGACATTCTGCCACCAGAAATATTATGTAGCCTCCGTAAAACTGTCGGTATTGGACACGAAAACAATGGAATAGATTATTTGTTAGTTTGAAAATTGATTTACGACGTTTGCCGTTTCTATGGAAGCGCCTAAACGGTTTTTAAGAACTCTTTTGTTGTAACCCGTTATGTGACTATCGACGTCACGTAAAAAATCTTTTGGTAATTTTTTATGTAAATATATGATTGCTACCTGCATTGAAAATTTAATTAACACCTAAATGATTTCAATGAAACAAATTTCGACGTTCCACCTTACATTTAAAAAAAATTAACTACAGCTAATTAATTGTATTTTATATTTACATTAAATACGTGTTGCATTTTTAAACATTCCTCACATAATGCCTAAGCGCAAAATATTTCTCAATTTTGCGAGTAGTTCGGATCCAAGCCATCGCGCATCGGATCGTAGTTTCAATTCGGCAGTAAATTATTTCGCCTTTTTTAAGCGTTAAATGTTGTCCTGTTTTATTTCAAATAATACATCAGGATAGAGAAACTATTGAACTGAACTCGTACATTTCGTTAAACAATAAATCTTAATAGCCGAAATATCGATTATACGAAACAGAGTGACGACACACAAATAGTGCCACCCGCTTCGATATCGACATATGGCAAATTAATTATCCGTACAAATGTGTAAAAGCTCTATTCCCGCGCCCCAAGAATTATTTTTCGAAAACAAAACTAAAGTAGGTCTCAATGTTTGACAAATACTTTTGGAAATTCTCATTTAAGAAACGAAAATTAAAGTGTACTGTAAGCGAAAAGGGAAAGACTTAAATCAGAATTATTACAATACAACGAATGTTTGCAGTGTATCAATTTTAAGATTAGTTAAGTAATAAATGAATAATAACAGACAAATTTTAACTTTTTTATTTTTTAACGATTGTTTCTAGTCTTTGACCTCATTAACATCTTCATATGACTATAAAACATCGATACATACACGCAAAAGTCGCGGAAGAACAAAGCAGCACTACAAACAGAACATTACCCGCCAGGACCGTATTACGCTATGGTCGCCCATTCATCTCTCCCCGCTGCAGAATTTGCGTAAACAAATTGGTTTCGCGATTGCCATTTTATACTCTCGCGCGCGACGCTCCATTGTTTTATTTATCGCTACCAGTTTTGGCAGCGCGCTCGCGATTAGGTTGTAGCGCTTTTTTCGCTTACAGATCACGTTAGATTTGTCAATCCCTCTTTTGATTTATTCTCTTTCGCTTCACACTCGAAAACATCTTTAAGTCGGAGAGCGTTCGAAATACGAATGTTTTGCTAATCTGTGCCAAAGCATCTTTCATCGGGAGTTCAATTTTTCTTAAATATACTTATATGGCTTCGCAATAGTCCTTTTTACAGACAGCCATTTCGTAAAATTAAGATACAAATTTAAAATTAATTACTCCCTTTCTCTTTCAATACATAAACACTACTTCCTCGTATACGGTTAATAAAACAAATGAATGGAATATACACGCATCATTACCGTTGTCGGGTGGACGTAATCCCACAAACATGGTATGTCTAATAACTCTAGGGCGCGGTACGCCGGTGATTTAAAGCCGACTTAATAAATGCGCCTGTCAACGCCGAAGGACGCCCATTTGCGGGCATTTGTCATTTCGGAACATTTGAATCCGTCGAATATTTTTTTTAATTAAATCAACAACAGTACTCTACTATATTCTATATATACTACAGAGACGGTGGAATGAATGTATTTTTTTATGTTAGAAGGCGGCAAAGTGCTAGAGCTCGCGGTTCACCCGATGTTAAGTAATAACCGCTGCTCATTGACATTTGCAACTCAAATCTTGCGACGTTTGATTTGAGTAAAGACATGCAAATGGCCGACTGGATTTTTCAAAACGAATGCAGCAGAAACTGATTGCAGTATTTGGACCCGTATCAGTGTTAACCTCAATACAAGGTTTTTTTTAATTCATCTATTTATATACAACTGTGCTTCGTGGTTTCATCCGCACTCGCGTGGCCATGACTCCTGTTTTTGCCTAAAGCTTACCAGAAAAGGAGCGTTACTATTTATATTTACTGCTCCCCTCCATAGGGTCGATCCGTGAAGTTTTATAGCCTCTAACCTTTTATAATAAAAGGTCCATCAAATAGAATAAATCGAGCCTATTCAAACACACGAACCTGTCAGCTTTATAACATACGAGTAGCTATAAGGAATTCGCTATCTTTGTATACGTTTTTAAGGTTATATATTGTACAGGTTTTTAAGATCAATACTTAAGACCTTATTATAAAAACTATTTATTAAGTAACTGAACTTTTCCAGTGTCACCAAATTTGGACATTCCACAACTCTAATGCTCATACTTCTGCTATAATGTTGTTCCCGTCAATTTGATCACTTCTCTACCGGGTATACTCACCATGAGATGCAGAGCAGCGTAGAGCTATCAAACTATATAAATTAAGACTGTCTGTTGTCTGTTGTTTTATTCAATAATGGTAGATAAAAGAATTGTAAAATGCATTAATTGTTATATATATACAAGTCTAAATAGAGAAAAGTCAACTCTCCCTGCCTTGATAGTAGTTACTTGATAAGTACATATATAAATAGATAAATAACAGCTGATTTTATCCACTAATAAAGTGACACATGTGAGCTCGCCAGATGAAAACGCTAACACATGAAAATGGTTCCGTTTTATGGTTCTATGTTATATACGGTTAGAGTTGCGCAGTGTCGGGGGTAAGCAGCCCCAACGCTGGGATGATTTATCGCGCCCTTACCGCTTATGAATACACTTGTTACGGTCGGTTCCATTATCGCCCGCGAATACGCACTGATTGGACACTGGACTGCCGTGTAACGAAGCGATTGTTATCGACGGTTCCAAGCTGTGACAGATTCCTTCCACATTATTTGTATCTGTGCTAAAGACCGGCAACTATTATTTCAAGAACATATAATCTGCATATACGTCCTTCCGAGTTACGTGGTTTCCGAGGCTTAATTGCATGCAGTGAAGTTTTTCAAATATAGTTTCTTATGCACTCATTCTACTATATTCCCAGTTTACTTTTCGCGATATGAAAAAAATAGATTATTAATTAATATTTCATTATACTAGAACATAAATGAATTATACAAGATCGTTATTTTGATTGCACTAAATTCTAATACATGGTTTACGTAATGAAAAGGAACGTTTTGTTCTTACAAAAGAGATGATTCAGATTTTGTGTTTCAACGAAAGCTTTTTTTAAAGAAAACATTAACTATTATTTAATTTGTTTCTTTTCCCCTTTAAAAGCAACCATAAGCTTTAAAATGTTATTAGAATCATTACATTTTATGAATAGTAATGAAAGTTATAACATTCCGACACACAAAAAAACATCTTCGAGAAAAAATTTATAGATATTAAATAATTCACTATTTAAGAATGACAGACAGGTCGTACGTACGTTATTATTAACCAAGTGACATTAGATATAGGACCCTGTTGACAACAAACAAGTCTCCCCCAATTGGCGGAGGTTTAATCTCATAGAGTTATTTAGTTTAGTTATTAAGCACAGACCCGTTGGTTTCGGTTAGGCCGTTTCTGCGGGTCTTAATGCGATTTGGTAAAAGAAATCTGTTTAGCGGGCTGCTCTTTTCGGCCTGTACACGGTGTAATAAAACTGGGCGAATGTTGTACGTTTTCGGCCTTTTTTTCAATAGTCATTGCTTATTAACTGATCAACTCTATCGTTATACTAATAAAATAAAGTAAATTTTAACTAATAATTTAATTAATTTTAACTTAATTGTCCAACGAATTAAATTATCTTGCCGGTTTCCTCGCGTTTTTAATCTATCACTGTTCGCAATGCGTTGTACGAGACGTAGAGCAACAAATTTATTATGCTAAAAATTATAATTTATTATTTTACATGCTATGGAATTTTTGCCACTGTATAAAAATTATTATATACCGTTCAGCAAATTTCATTCCAAAAGGCCGACGGTTGAAAGTAATTAAGATGCGATAAAGAAAATCATTATTTTTATTGTCTATAAGGCTATAATATGATATAACTACATATCTTTTACGATTTCACGAGCTTTAAGGAGCAAAGTGGCATTCTAACAATTCAATTCCAAACATTAATAAAGAGAAATTAATGTTTTAAAAATATTTTACACAGTCCATGTTCTCTTTAAAGTGCGTATGGCCAAAAAACTAATAAAAATATTTAAAAAAAAGTTATCCCGCATTAATGTAAAAAATCGGCAAACTTCGTAATTTCTTCTGCATTGGTAGATATTAATTTTAAGCTTTAACGGACTAGCGTAGAAATAACGAACGCACATTATTTTTACTGTACTTCCTCTAGCAAAAATTTGAATACTGTGATCTATTTATAAATTAAATATTTTTTCCGGCAGCAATCCGAATGTCAAATTAAAGTTTTAAATTTAAAAATAAATCGCGTTCGAAATTCAAATGGCAAATGAATAACTTCAAAAGCCTTGTGTTGTGCGACTTACTTCGAATTATCAACTAGGGAGCCGGGCGTCATCCATGCGCGAGTCAGGGGCTCTTCCTTGAGTGAGGTGACGGGCCCGCGGGGCTGAGCGTGCAGCCCGCCCGCCGCCTCCTGGTGGTGCAACCCGAACATCAGCCCACCTGATAACACAGACTATATTTGAAACGTGCGAGAACATTGTTTATTTAAAGATAAAAATTAAAAAATAAAATTGTTTCCGTTTTTAAAAGCTCATATCGACGAATTTTTTATGAGGTTTTTTAACAAATGAAAAAATCCTAAAAGAAAGAGTGCAAAAAAATTACTTTACTTTCAATTAAAAATTTTTTAATCTTATGATTTATTTCTTTTAAAGTAAAAGAGAGTAATTTTCATGTTTTATTAACAAAATAATTATATAAGGATTACTTCATCATAAAATAACTTATTTACTATTTACTTTCACGTAGTAAACTTTCCATTTAAAACAAGACAAATCCTTTCTTGTGTTATTTTAAATCAAACCTAGTAGAAAAAATCTACGTTAATAGTAATTCATGCTTATGATTTGAAACATATTCAAAACGTATTTCCTTTACAAAACCAAATACTGCATCTTGCAAACTAATTAACGAACGTATATAACAAGTTATATTATTATTTCTTACGCACATTTCATATAACTTTTAGACTAAAATAAACTTAATGATAAATGTATTTTGGCATAAATTATTTCATAATATTTAATATAATGAATCCTTGAGTTTGAACGATATTTATCATTACTTGTATTATAAAATTATAATATAAAAATTTTACTTGAAAAAGAAATTATATCGCTTAAAGTAGACAATTTAATAAGTATTTAATTTTATTTAATAAGCTGCGTAACCATACTTTAAAGTTTATGTCATGTAAATCTATTTTAATTAAAATAAATATTTAATTCTTTAACAAATTCCCTTTGTTTAAAAGTAACTTTAACACAAAGACAAACATTTAGCTGTTTACAATTATTGTCACCTCCCTAACCAAAATTTGCTTCGCAACTTTGCAAAGTTTCATCCTTACAACTTTGCTAAACTGTTTGTTTTGTTTGAATATCAGTTTGTTAAAACCAGAATACAAATTGTTAGAAAAAGAAAATGTAGTGACGTTTTTTTTTAATTTGATAGTATTAAAGTTTAATAAATTTGTAATAAACTCCATTTTAAATTGATCCTAAGTATTATAATTTTTACGCGTATTTCCAATAGCTGGAGTAAATCACAGGAGTTTAATGCATTTTTAGGGCTGCAAATTCAAAACTTTAAAACTATTTTTTTCTAACCTCCATTCGAAATCAGATCGGTCGATTATAGAACCATTATATTTAGACCTCTTGATCAGAATTACCTGAGGACCTCGGCGCTCCCGTCGGGTACAGTTTCCGTCCCCATCCCACGGGGTCCAGTTCCAGCGGCGGCCACGGCGAGCCCGTGTACCCGCCCGCCGCGTTCAACTCGTCCGACCGAATCGCGAACCACGCACGGCACCACGAGCGAAGCGCCCGAGAGCGCGCGAACGCCCCCGGAGAATCGCGAAGCGCGTGAACTTAACGCGCGAAACGGGTTCCTTTTTTGAATTTACCACGCGCACTTCCGAGTTCGATTACGAGAAATTAAAAATAAACTGCTTTGTTTTTTTTTTTTGTTAACGAAATTGATCGTCAGTACGTAATGGAGAGCATAATCGGATGAAACAAATACGACACTAAGAATGTTTACGAGTAGCGAGGCTCGCGAGGGCGATGAAAATTTTGTTCGAATTCGGTTATAAAGGGAATCCGCTATAAATATCCATAGACGGCTCTATCTTATCGTATGTGCGTACTGGGATAGCGGTCCCGGTTGTGCGGGCGATCCCGCTGTGGATTTGCGGCACACTAACAAGCGTCGCGGGAGCGCGCCGCCGAGTGCTCGAGCATCGCGGCGCCCCCGTCCGTCCCCGCGGACTGTGGGAGGCGCCCTGGGGACACGCCCTCGCCTCACGAGCGGGACGACGCGACTGGCACCGGCGGCGCCACTTCCACCCGCATCTCGTCGCCTTCCAAATTCGAAACTTAAATTCCTCACTCGCTTTTTTGCAGCCGGCCAGCTGTATATATTTATTATTTAATTTATGAAGTAGAAACTCTATAGTTTCGCTTCGCCATAAAAGTGGCTATTAATGATAACGGCGGTTCGGAGCGAGGTTTCCCTCAGAGACCGCACGCCGAGCGCGCGGGTAAGGGATGGGACGAGAGATGAGACGCAGCACATCTCGCTGGACCAGCCAGCCTCTGCTCGGGGACAGCCCACAGCGATGGAATTACTTATTAAACCGAGTTGGATTGACGATGATGAAATTTCAGTGGGAATTGACTTTAACTACTGGCAAGATCTGCTTTTGTAGGGTCGTTAATTATTACAGATCACGTTTAACTAAGGTGAATGTAAATTAGACACTGATTTTTATTGTTTAATTCGTGTGTTTTAAAAATCCTTTCGTGATATATTTTTATCATCACAATATAAGTCGCATTTTAATTAGACACATGATAACACTTTTGCTAACTTAACTAGTATCTTTATGAGAACCTAGAACTAATCGAGTCACGGATTTTCCCATAATCATCGTTAAGTTTAACGTGATAGCGTTAAATTCTACAGAAGCGTCAAATCATTACTAACTCGAAGAAATCTGGACCATGTGAAAAACTTTTGAAACACCGTGGAAATGGAGGAGCGTGCTGCTAGCTGTGGGACCGTGGGGTCAATAACGTGAATACATAATGACTGCAAAGACGCTTAACTCTGCAAATGTCTATATATGCTTGATCGCGCTTTAGTATCAGAATACCAGAAATATTAATAAAAACTTTGTTTTAGTTTATATAGTAAAAAGTAAAGTATCGGTCTATATATATCCTACTGCTGGACAAAGGCCTCCTCTATACAGAGAGTATCAGGACATAGTCAAAAAGGCAAAGTAGTAATTTCGTTGGTGCCGGCACCGGGGATCAAAATCAGGTTGCTCGAGTATATTGAATTAAAGAAGAGCGCCCGGACACCATGCTATCACTCTAGTTTATATATCAATTAGTTTATTTAATTTATGACTCCGTGGCGCAGTTGCCAAGGTATTGGCTTCGGCGTCGGGGGTCGTGGGTTCGATTCCCATACGGGACAACAATTTGTGTGACCCACAGATAGTTTTTCGCATCTGGGTGTTTGTCCGCGTGAAATTTATGTTTGTAAAACGTCCTTACAACACAGGATAATATTATCCTAAAGTAAGGGCAATGTATAAAAAAAAATCGTTAATAATAGTTGCATGTTGTGCACATTCTACTTTAACAAAATATGGATGATTATGGAAACGAGAAACTTCAATGAAATTGTTTATACTTTAAATTCCTGACATTTACAACATTGCGTTAGAAATATTAGAGATTTATATCTAGTTAAGTTGCAACCCGTTTTTCATTTTGCTTTTTATTTTGACTTGGGATGGTACTCTTGAATAAAATTATATTGAACACAACGTGTTTAAATTGAGTATGATTGATTTTTTTTTTGAGTTTGAGCGACGTTTCGTGTGTTTTACCCGACTACGCCAGAAGGAGGGTTATATTTTTCGAGCTTATGTAAAGTAAAGTAAAGTAAAGTAAAGTAACAGCCTATACATGTCCCACTGCTGGGCAAAGGCCTCCTCTATACAGAGGGTATCAGGGCATAGTCCACCACGCGGCCCCACTGCGGATTGGCGGACTTCACATATTTTCGAAATATGTTTTAATAAAATATGCAGGTTTCCTCACGATGTTTTCCTTCACCGCGGAGCACGTGATAAGTCAGCACTTAAAGTTAAAAACTTCATTGGTGCCAGCACCGGGGATCGAACTCAGGTTGCTCGAGTATATATTGAATTAAAGGCGAGCGCCCGGACACTGAGCTATCACGGCATCACGGAGTTTATGTATGTATCTATAATTGTTTGGCACGCTCTGCAGCCTGAATGGCTTGATGGATTTTTGCTTGAAAGATGTCGTTAGACTCGTATTTACTATGAGAGTATAATACTGCGACTTCACGCTTGTCTTCTGAAAAGGCCTTGCTTAGTTTAGGACTAGATAACGTTGTGTAGAAATATGTCCGAACTATTTACTTATTTTTTACATCAATATATTTCATCAAGGACTTATTAGTAGGTAATCGTCCAAGACGTTTATATAAATAGGGTCAACAAGTCGAAAATGCGTATTCAGTTTAATATATGGTTGGTACATAAGATCTGCAAATATTTTTCTCAGTCAATTTCTTCAATTTAATCAGAAACTTTAAACTATTAATGAACTACTTTATTTAAATAACAAAATAACAATCAAGATTTTCACTGGATACCTTGTCAATTTGTTCTCGCCTCGGGCACAATTAAGACCCATTTACACGGTGCAAGTTTCTTGCCTGTTGTATACAATTAAATTGAAGCAATAAATGAGTTGCATGGTCTAAACAACAAATGGTCTAACAAATTATTGCGCGCAATTTATTGCATTCAATTATTGCTCTTGTATGTACAAGAAAATGGCATCGTGTAAATGGGCCTTTAATCTATTAAATTCAATTCTAGTTATATATCCCGCAGTAACGATCTTACAACCTTCCTAATTGCTTTTTAATAGATTTAAGGTATCCAATCAAAAATTAAGCTTTAAATGAATTACATGCACATAACACATAAAATAAAGTGAACATTCGAAAAACTATAACTGACTACTAACTAAAGGCCCATTTACACGGTGCAAGTTTCTTGCCTGTTATATACAATTAAATTGAAGCAATAAATGAGTTGCATTGTCTAAACAGCACATAACATTCTTGACTGTTGAACAAGACTTGTTTCAAGTTTTGTTTCAAAACTTTCCTTGGTGTAAACAGCACACACAATAATTTCGTAAGCAATTCTTGTATTAAATTGCATTCTCTCTTCCTTTGCAAAAATTAGTGCAATGATTGAGGGTATTTAATTGTTGCTGTTCTTTTGAGGATAGAAATATTGAGAAAAGGTCGTAAAAAAAGTTGGATAAAAATATGAATAATAATATATGGATCATAATAAATAAATCTCAATGAAATATATTTAATCGGCATAATTTAACTTGAACACTTATTATAGAGCCATTTTTTTTTAAAAAAAACAGGCCTTTGTAAAACCTTCAATACTTGCATGAAAAATTTGTCAACGCAAATACGTGCAATACTTGAAGCAACACGCCAATAAATTGTACACGCACATACAATCATGTGTTTAGACAAGTCAAAACTCGAAAGCAATAATCGCCTAAACATAATTGCATTGGTGTAAACAAAAGACATTTGCAATTATTTCTTGTCAAGACTTGCATACAATAAGCGCATTCAATTTTTTATACTATATCTGCGTGTAAACTGTTGCTTACAATTCTTGATGGTCAATTATTACGTGCAACTTATTGCATTCAATTATTGCTCTTGTATGTACAAGAAAATGGCATCGTGTAAATGGGCCCTAAGTCTTCACATTCACCGATAATTGTTTATATTGCAATATTTCATACGGAATCTGAACTAAGATTACTATGCAAGTATATACAAGAGCAGGGCAGAGAAGTCGATTGTTTACTTGCACTTAATTCAATTTGTACCTCAAGTTTAAAGGCATTTAAATTATAGGCAATACAAACGAGTTTATAGATTCATTGATTGCCAAAAAGGAATTTATTAACAATATCATAAAAAACCACTGATTTAATGGAAAATGCATTCAGAATACATTATTACAGTTTTTAAAACTCATAACAGTATGTTGTTATGAGTTTTAAACAATTTTTGAATGGCCTGATCGCATTAGTAACCATTATTCGTATGTAGTGTTGCTGGTTTTAATGTCTTGATGTGTAGATGTACAATTTGTATAAACACGGGATTAGCTTTATTTGTGAGAGCATTAGGCTTTTTGCCAATCAATATCTTAATTATCAATTGCATAAATGACAAGTTTTTTGCCATATGCAACGCATATTTCTTTATGGGATTAAAGTTTTTTGTACTCGGATTCATAGCATAGTTCCAAGCCCATTCAGGAACTTAAAATGGCTTTTGCTATTGCTACGTAAAGAAATAACAAACACAATTATACACAAACTTTTGTGATATTAAGTTACACACACATACGTGTATGCGACTAACAAGTGTTAGAGAAGTAAGGTATCAGCCTATACATGTCCCACTACTGAGCAAAGGCCTCCTCTATACAGGGCATAGTCAACCACGCGGCCCCACTACGTTTTGGTGGACTTCACATACCTTCGAAATATATATATTTTTTTATTGTTATTTCGAAAATATGCAGGTTTACTCACGATGTTTCCCTTCACCGCTGAGCACGTCATAATTCAGCACTTGAAATTAGCAATTTCATTGGTGCCGGCACCGGGGATCCGGGTATATTGAATTAAGTGTCCGGCCGAGCACCCGGACACTGAGCTATAACGGTTAGACAAGAAACCGTAATAATTATTTTGTATTATTATATTATTATTGCATTATTTCAGACGTAACTTTCCTCAATACGTTCTTTAAATGATAAAACCCCTCAAGTCATGAGATCATAAACTTTATTGTTACGATGAGAAGATAACTTTGGAGGAAGATGCATCGTTTATAAATCATCAAATATTATCTTTAGTTCAGGTTGCGATATAACATAAAGTATTATATATATTATTGTAATATGTTTTAATAATGTATACATTATAAATAATTTTAGAATAAGAACTATTTGGAAACGTTATAATTGCTCTTTGGACATGTTATATGAGTTTAAAATTAGAAAATTTCATATCACATTTACTCATTTGGAACCAATCACAACTTGAAGTATTAATGATTTCATCTGATGTTAAGTAATTAAGCCTAAGGCATTCTCTACCAGTCAACCTACGGGCAACGCAGAGACAAAAGAGGCAAGTGTAAAAAGTTTCAAATTAAATTTTAAGTTAAAATAAAAGTTATATACATATTCATATATAATTAAATTTAAAACATATACATGAAAATATATATCGTATATAAACATATTAAACCCAATATAACAAAAATATATTACATTATTTTAGTTATCTAATAAGTACAAGATTTACAAATCCAAAATATGACACACTTAGACCGGCTGTACTTTACAGGTTAGTACATTCTATACTTAATCCTACTTTTGAAAAGGTTAAGAAATCCCATGACATTTTCAACCCTACACATACTGACGTAGCCATCCCTGCTCGACGAAAGATAAGAAAATAAAGCGATTAGCGTTCATAACCCACGCAATCACGACTCTGCTTCCAATGCGAAAATCCACAATATAATAAACGTACGAATAGGCCTTTCTATGGTTTAACAATAACTAACCGTCAATTCAAACTAAATTTTTTAATCTTCGATATTGAAAGTAAAATTGAGTACATTTTTGAAATAACTTAAGTTTAAAGCGTACCAATAACAATATTGTATGTTTTTCCTTACGCAAAAAAAAAGTAGAGTCACAATCTATACATGCATATCTCTCTGCTATGCAAAGGCAGTACTTTGTACAGATGGCATAATCAACCACGCAAACCCACCGCGGTTTGGTGGACTTCGCATATGTTCGAAATATTTTGTTTATTATTATTTCAAAAATATGCAGTTTCTGAGCGCTATATTCCATTACTTCTGCACAAGTGACAAATCAGCGTTTAATATTGCAAATGACAATTTATTTGGGCCTGGCAACGAGATTTGAACTCGGATTAATCAAGTACATTTAATTATAAGCGAGCGTCCGGCCAATGAGCTATCACGGTTCGCTACATTAAAATATGAAAGGCTATTTCGAGCAATATTACTTTATTGAATTATTTAATAAACAGAAACGCTGTACAATATGTTCATAAAGAAAATTATGTTACATGTTATTTTTTATTTAAAGGACCTATGTGGAATTTCCAGTGTATAATAATTGTTATTATTAATCTTAAACACAATAAAGTTTAAATAAGCAGTGATTCCCGCCAATGTTCAAAATCGTAAAAGTAATTACTTTATCGCTGCAATCACACGTAAGCAATAGACATAAAAAGTTAAGATGACGTCATCTATTTTATCTACGTCTTACACTAACATAGGTATCAGAGTAAGGTGTAGGTACGAGTCTTTCTCTTCTTAATAATTATACTCAGACACCATCTACGAGCAATATGACTAATATCGAAGTTATTTCAACAACAACAAACAAGTTGGTGAAGCCTCGGTGGACTCTGAGTGCTCTGGGAGGCCACAGAGGGACCGCCTCCCTCTCGGAACGCCCACAAAAGGACACGCCCACCGACGGTGCCTAGAGACTTGGATAGATGAAATATCGTTTTTTGTCTCAAGCCAAGATACATGAGCAATATCCTCCAAAAGTATCAGAGAACACGGTCGCAAAGCTTAAGTACAACCACGCTTACATTCCGTACAAAGACAATTCATGAATTGACACATCTGTATAATTGGATAACGTAGTTTTGAGTTGAACTGCGTCGGTACTAGATGTTTTATAACGATTTTCAAATCGACCATGAGAATGAAGGCAGTGTCAGTAAAAGTCAGTACGATATTGGACGTGCCTGTGCGCATGCTTTCTTTCGAAACAGTCGTGAGCTATAATTGAAACAAATTATCGTACTATTGTCACGTTTTTAAAACACGAGGTCACCCATTGGTCGAAACTTGATTGATTAAATTTTAATTTAAAGGATTGATTATTTTTTTACTCCCTGCAACTGTTTGATAACAGATTATTACGTGTTTTACATTGACAGTATCATCAGTAAGAGGGAACATCGAACTCACCACGTTTTCCCCAAACATGTTCGAACCTCGGGCTCCTTGTCCATCTCTCGTTAACAGGGTGTGGAGTGTGGTTGGCGTCTACGTGTCGACCAGCTAAACGTAGCTGGTGCATGACTCAAAAAGTGGAGAGCAACGGTTCTCCCGAGTCCGCTATTAGAGTCGTGTTCTAACAGCAAACTACGCAGTCACATAAAAAGTAATTCATTGCATTTGCGAGACAGTTTCGAATAGATTACAAATTTATTCTCATCACTTGAATATCCCTTGGCCTCTGATTTTATGCTTATACTGTTTCGTTAAATAAAACTATCTAACAGATGTTTTGAACGCCTTGCAGATTCTTTTATTTTGGGACGGACACAACGCGATAAATTGCTTGAAATAATTTTATAAGACAATATGTACCATTCGCGTAAATGTAAAAAATAATTTTAATATTCCTGTTATAGAATATTGAAGAAAAAGATATGTTACAAAAGAGAGAAGATGCAAAATAAACCGTTGGCTTTCCTGTCCTGTCGTGTCATCCTGGCTGAGGCTTGAAACGTATACATTGCACACATATTTTGATTTCCTCTTTGTCTCCAAGTTAAACCATAGCATACCGTATAATGGACGAGCTTGATTAAAATTATTTCACACGTAGTTTTAGGACGTACATTGCATGCAAATTCTATTTCCTCGCGGGTGACCTTAAACGGAACAATGGGATCTAGATCCAGGCATCACAATCAGGCTACGATTGTGCTGGAAGCGGTAACCCAACAAGACCAAAATCCACTGGGAAATCATTTGCATTTGAAAGCCCTATTATTGATTATATCTATAATATATTGATTATATATTATATATTATATCACGTGCGAAATCCTAAATGCCAGTTGATGTTCATCATATAGCATTTATTTAAGATAAAGCAGTTTTAGAAGATTTTTTTTCTTTGATAATTATATTTAAAGTAAAGTAAAGTAAAATATGCTTTATTGTACACCAACAAACATTACAGTATTTATAATAAAAAAAATTAAGTATATAATAATTTACAAGATTTAATCTTTTTTTTAATGTGAAAAGTTGCCAAGCGAGCAGGCGGTTCACCTGATGTTAAGTGAATACCGCCGCCGATGGACATCTGTTACACCCGAGGGTTACAGATGCGTTGACAACCTTTTGAAGATTGGGCTCCGGCTACCTCACTCACCAGACGAAACGCGAAAGTATTTATTATACTTCCATTTTATGCCGGTCTTCTGTGAGGTCGTGGTACTTACCCGGACGAGCCTGCCCATTCGTGCAACAGCCGTGGCTGCTGCGTGGCCCTACTACAGTAAAATCTATCTAATCTATCTAAAATTACATATTATCTAATAAACCAAACCCACGCGGCATGGTGCCAAGAACGCTAGCTGCATTTCCTCTCTGAATAGTTATGCTTAAACTTTGAGCGAGGAAAGAACCAGCTCTCTTGTCACGAGCCGCGGTGTTAAGCCTAGGACATAAACTTTTAAAAAAATTTGATGTACGTGGACCCCACGGACATCAATTACATTAGAAGAATTGTTATTATTTCAAATGGACTATAATCCGGATAGCCAATTCTTCATAAAAATAGTAACAAAAAGGATTTTTGTTACATAATTTCCTAGTTAATGTTAAAAATTAAATAGTAAGAGTTTCCTCTTATAATATATGATAACAAATGCAAATACAGATTAAATTAGATATTCGTCAAACATAACATCATAATCCAGCATAATAACAAAGTATGGGGGAAATTTAGTTTCAAGAAGATTACGACCTTCTATTATACATTAAGAGTAGGCGGACACGAAAGCTGTTATAATTGTGGGTCACACATACGCACAAAGAATATAATATAAACAATATAATTTTCAATTGCCTGTTTATTCTCCGTTAGAGGAACCTCATTATGAAACGGTGGTAGATTTACAAAATGACTATCGAAAGATGAAATGTATGTGTCCTATTTCGATGAATAAATTATTTAAATTTTTGGCCTGTCTGTCACCAGGCTGTATCTCATGAACTGTGATAGTTTGACAGTTGTATAACAATAAATACTAAAAAACAGAATAAAGAATATGGGGCTCCCAAACATGATTTCTTACCGTTTTTATAGATAATAATGGTACGGAAACCTTCATGCACGAGTCGGACTCGCACTTGGCCGCTTTTTTTAAATGCGATTTTCTACAGTTCGTTACATATCCTTTAAAAGCGTTGTAGACACTTACACGTATGCATATTGTATGCATATGTTTATGTTCGTAACATGCATATTATGTGCGTATGGACATATAACTCGAATATTAATATCGAAGTCGACACGTAATATTCCAAAAAAATGCTATAAATGAAAATGTCTGCGAATCAGATAGAAATCGTATCCCGTGCCATTAAAACACCAATATACAGTAACTTACGCAGTGCGTCCAGTTAGACACGGACTCGTTGCGTTCCCTTCCTACTTCATTTTAATTCGAAACCTTAAGTCAGCTTTAAATTACACTTTTTGCTGCCCTTATAACACCCCCGACGACTGTCCCGGATTAAGGGCTACCAGCGGATACTTTTTCCGGCGGTGCCAAGAAACATCGCCGTGCCTTTAGATGCCCCCCAGGGGGTGCTTTTGGACCCTTAACGTTTACGACTACACGATTGCTTTTCTATGAAGGGACTGAGGAACGTTCGCGACAAAAACAGACATATGGCGCGACGGAAGTCGATAAGAAATTGATTAGCGCTCAACCGCGTGAATATACGTGTCTTGCGACCGCTTGAGAGCTCAGCGGTGCTCGAGTGGTGAGACTTGACACCCTTGTTTGTGGGATTTTCGGTTTACGCTTCCGTGTTTTTTGCGATCTCTGACCGTTGGTAGCGGCGCTAACGAGATTGCGTGACGCCATCTGCTAATTTTACAACCGTGTAAACTGCCTATTTCGATTTTTAGCAACGGCTCCTTGTTGAACATCCGGATATATGTAATAACGAGCTGCTGCCCGCGACTACGTCTGCGTAGTCGCGAATAGGCTGAAGGCGTAACAATCAGACAGAAAGACAGATATATAAATTATAAGTCTTATTCTGATGTATAAGCTATATTATTGTAAAGTTTCATTAAAATCCATTCAGTAGTATTTGCGTGAAAGAGTAACAAACATCCATCCATACATACAAACTTTCCCTTTTATAATATTAGTAAGGATTATGTTAAAATTTATGCAGAGTCAGAATAGAGTATATGCGGCACACAACTGTAGTTCGATGACTCAGTTGGCTTCAGCTTCGGGGGTTTAATTCTCAACTGTGTTCAACTATTTTTGTGACCCACAGATAATTGTTAACTAACACATAGATCCAGTGTTTTCCCATGTGAAATTTATGTAAGTAAAAAGTCCTTACAACACGAAATAATGTTATCCTATCGTAAGGACAATTTTTTTTAAAAAAAATTAAAAATGTAGGTGTCATAAGTTTTACATAACCCCTAGTTTCGATCATAAAATTTAGGTTAGAGAAACGGCGACAAACACCTTAAAAACATTTAAATAATAACAAAAATACGCAGTTGACCAAAATGACCGATTTAAAATGGACAAAATAACTGGTATGTTATATGTTACATATCCTGCGTACCTTTCTATCTCTATTGATTTCTTCTTCAGTCTTTTCTTATCTAAAAGGCAACTTTTCTTGATGATTTCGGTGTATTAACAACAATTAACTAACAAATCAATCAACACGGTGAACGGTAGTTTTCTCGCAATCGGTCAACCGAAACCTACCACATGCAGTGACAGCAAATCGGTAAACATTTTGACTCGAGTTTTGAATGGGGATTATGAAAGCGTCTTAAGCGACCTCTTTGAAGTGACAACTGGCCGAAAACGGTCGGACGACAGAAAATAATGATATTGTTAAAGAAATGTCTTATAGAACTACTGATGCACTTTAACGAGACATTTAGAAAGAAAAAAGGCAAAAGAAAGAGCCCCTATTCACAAGTATTTCCTAATTTAACATGGTCTTTTTAATCTTTTATTTATCCCAATGTAAAAGACTATAATGATTTCAATTATGGTCTCGTTTCTCAAGTCATTCATAGTAAAGACAATATTAAAAGACAAAATACTAAAGAACTTATTGAGATAGGGTCTCGAGTGACAGCCTCGTATTGATCATTGCAGCATTGCATTGGTCGTAAGACGACCCCTACTAAATAAAGTGACGACCTGTGCAAACGTGCGATAAGTCGACGGATATTAGTGGCTAAGGACGTGCTTTGCGGCAGTCTGTGGGCGAGGCCATCCTCAACAATGGACTAAAACAGGTCGTAATGATAATGATGATGATTATGATTCTAAAACAAATTATCTCGTAAACTATATTCGTAGAAAAAAATTGCTCTCTTTACTTACTACTAGCGACCCGCCCTTATAAAATAAGCCTTCCTCTTGAATCAATCTATTTAGTTTAAAAAAACCGCATCAAGATCCGTTGCGTAGTTTTAAAGATCTAAGCGTACATAGGGATAGACAGACAGCGGGACGACTTTGTTTTATACTATGTAGTGATGCACAGCAAAGAGACGTTTACAGTTCATGTGACTTTTTACCACAGTCACTCACTTGTTTTGCCTTCCCGGAACCGCTCCACGACTTTATAGTATGGTATTAAAGTTTAAATTGACTTAAAGTGACTAAAAAGTGTTATTTTTAGACTTTTCAGGCATTTTTTTAAATTTTTCTCTCCGCAAAAACCATCTTTCTACTTCAAGGAATATTATAAAAAAAACAATTAGTGAAATCGATCCAGCCGTTCACGCGTGATGGCGTGACCAAGGGAAATAGGGTTTAATTTTTATATATATAAATTTTCAATATATGATTCATTGGAAATTGTTTTAAAACTATTTATCTTAAAACTAATGCAAAGATTTTAACACTGAATTCGTGTTACCGAAAACAAATATGCAAAGTTTTTCACGACCCAAGCACAATTTAGTGTAGCACAACCTTAAGTTACAGATATAAAATTGTCTAAATTAACGTTGAGGATAGACTTCCATAACGTTTTTCTAGAAAGCACCAT